AACTAAATTACATGTCATCTGATATGCAAACTCCAAAAGTTTTTTATGTTGGAAAATGTGTTCAAAGTGTTCACCATTCCCTTGGATAATCTGTCTGTAACATACAGCATTGTTTTCAATAACCTTTTTCAGTGTTTCTTGTGTTATACCTCTGATCACTGTAACCACAGAATGTGCTGTGTCATCATCAGAGAGAGCTTGAAGAGACTGAACTTTGTTGGGGTAAAGTTTGAATTCTTTGTAAAAGTTCTCTGATTTGATCTTTAGTTTATTTGAAACAATGCTAATAATTTCCTGGTGGATTTCTTAGGACTTGCTGTGATTGCAATTTGCACTCTTTCAATATTCTCTACTATTCATGAAGTTGTTGGATGGCCTTTGCCCCCCTTGTTTTGGTTTCCACAGTTCCTTTCTCTTCAAACTTATCAGTGATCTTCTTATTCATTGAATTTGATAGGGGTGTTTTATTAGGAAACCATCATCTTCGCAGTAACAGGTGAATGTGTTTTAATAAATTTATGCATAATGAAAACTCTTTGCTCTGTTGTAAACTGGTAGGCTACATTAACTATTTACCTGAAACAGAAAAGAAATCTTTTTGAGTTTGCCTTTCAAATGACATTAATTTTCTATGTTAAGAAATAAAAAATATATGTATTAATTAAATGTGAAATATCTTTGTGCTCCATCCTCTGGAAATACTTCCAAAAATACAGGCTGCTATAGATAGTATAAGTTTCATTGAGGCACCAGTCATGGTCTAGCCAGCACTGCTGTTGTGAAGCAACAGATAATTCACTTTACTGTTATTTTGCTACAAAGTCATTTATTAAAGATCTGTAATGAGTAACTTTATTTGTTTCCTTTAGTCAAAGTTTGGTTTTGTCATGTTACAGTTTTTGAGATGAAATTCAATTAACTGCCTATGTGAATCATAGTTTGCAAATATGGTCAGCCTGAGTTTAGTCAGGAAAAATCAAAGCTTTTATTTCCTGTCCATGAACTGTGGTTCATGGCAAGCAGTGCTGCCTTTGCTGAACCAAGCTCAAAAGGGAGAATGGTTGTATGGTGATGGAGAAGGCTGCAAAATCTTGACAGGCTAAGCCTGTACATGCACCTCACACTTGGACTTGGATTGGATATGAGCCTGCCCATGAGAGGTTTCAATGAAGCACTAGAGCTTTGTTCCTTAATGGCTGCCTCCACACAGCAACCTGACTTAGTGATCATCTCTCATGAGTGAAAAGGTGCATTTAATGAGATGGAGGTGCATGATATGTGTTACAGCCCCCATTACTCAGAGAGCCAAAGTGACCCAGTCCTCTGACCACTCACAGATCTTTGTCTGGCTGCATATAGCCTATAGACTTTATGCTGTATACCCTTTCTGTGAAAGGTAGAGCCTCTCAGGCCATATTTTTTACCCTCATTGAATCCAGTCATAAAGTAAAGACTGAAAATGTACAGAGGCTACTGCAAGCATGCATGAGCAACTGCTAAATACTAATATGGTGATAAGAATACAATTCAGAGCACATATGCCCATGTACCTGAAGAACCTACATTGGTAGAGTAATGAAAAATGAAAAATATGTAAATTAAGTTCAGTTCATTGCTAGATAATTATTCAATTCAGCATTAAAATGTTCAATATGATTATTAATCTGTATGGCACTTTCAGAATCAGATTTATATTTCCTAGTTATATCATCCTGGAATTCAGATATTGTATCCATATCTGATAAACCTTATATGAAAATGATCAAAATATCATAAAAGCAAATGGAGAGATGTAGTGAAAACTTGGTCCTGTTTTTTCTGCAAAAATCGACAATGACACTTGATATACCTCTTGGCTACATTTGGAGCACAAAGAAAAAAGTAAAAAAGTCTGGTTATAAGGAAGTGAGACTTGAATCTGAAGAAACAGATCAACAGAAGGAAGAAAGCCCTTCAATCCTGTATGATCAGAGGATAATCATAGGTGAATCAACCTTGGTCCTGCTTCCCTTCTTCCAGAATTCAACTCCACATGCTTGTAATGGTCTATGCACAACTTCATGTAGGCTTCATCAGTAGAGGTAAGAGCTGCATCAGTTATCACCTTCAAATCCTACATGTAGCCAGTGATTTCCTGATTTCCTTCACCACTATCTATGACTTTTCAACCATCAGCCTCATATTCCTTCATGAGTGTGCAGAGGACTCAAACCACCTTATCCATTGCCAATTCATCTATTCACTCATATTTCTGAGCTCTGCATTATATGGATATCCTGTGCAGGGTCAATTTAGCGTTCATTGTAAAATAGACCTTTGCCTTCCTTTGCTCAATGGTTTGTCTCTTATATCCTCTTGATTTAGACATATCCAATAGTTCTTCTCCATATGAATATCATTTGCTTAAATTACATCTAAATGTATTAATGGCCTCTGCAATGGCATCAGCCTTCAATGCCTACATTTGGTGCAAGAAGGCATGCAATTTGCAATGGTAATAAATCTCATCCTTACATTTTATCAGATCTCTATTACCTGAGACCCATAGAATGCAAGAACACTTTACCTTTGGGAAGAAATGGGAACTGCCTGATGAAAGGATATGAAAATGCTTTGCACATTAAGCTGCATTTGTGCATTGAAGGCATTCTTAATCTTTCTGAACTACTTTATGGCTCATCAGTCCCCTTCAAAAAAGATCCAAGTAAAAAATTATTCATATGATCCAACCTAGAAAATTGTGGAATGATGGGGTGGGGAAAATGTAAATGGGCTGTCAAAGACAAAAAGAATTTGATTTTGCTTCATGATTTACTGGTATTCCTCTGATGAATCTGGAAGCATAGTTTTGGCTAACTTTCTTCAGAAAGGTGGAAGGTATTTTTTCTCCAGAGCCAGAATAGCATGATTGATAGAATCACCAAGGTCTTTTGCTTACTAAGACTTCTTTTTGAAGAATATGCAGCTTCAAATAGTTTTCTTCTCTATCTTAGGGACTTCCAAGCATTGACAGTAGAAGTGAAGACTTGAAAGGACATGAATACTTTTGACATCTAGTCTCAATTGAAGGGCTGAAAGAAAAAGTAGTCTATCTGCAAAAAAAAAGTCCTAAAAAAAGTATAGTTGGTTTCCTGCTCATACAGTGTTTTTCACTTGAATTAGATCATTTTTAATTTGACTCGGACACACATGCATGGGACGTTCCTCATGCATAAGTGTTGAAGTTAAGTGGAAAAGTGTCTGACTCAAATGAAAAAACATTGTATACCCTTACTCCTTTCCTTGAAAAAGGCAGTTTTGGGGAATTATATTAAAGATAAATTGTTCTCTCTACACATACTACTCTTCCTTACTTTTAACAAGAGGACAGTGGAATATTCACTCATTCTGTATGGAGGTAGAGGAAATGATATTTTGCAGATGGACCACTTTTCCTTTCAGTCCTTCAATTATTGCTGATGGATAAAGATTTCAATTGTTGCAGGTGGTTGGAGTTCCTTCAAATATCCTAGGCTGTATGAGGGGGAAACATTTTCTAACCAAATTGTTTTGTTTTTTTTGCTCTATTATCTAACTGCATTCAAATCACTATCCAAGCATGCAAAAGGCTTTGAAGTCCTTTACACCTTAGTTCCTCTCCTAAGAACATCCTAAGAAAACATGAAGGCAAGACTTTCCACAGTCTCATCAGTAATTGTGTTGACAGTTGTACTTTTCAGAAATACAGGTTTCCTGCATCTAGCAGTCTTGATAACTTCCTTATTTCCTTCGGAAATCTGTGGCCATTCGAAGTCCTCATCTTTTGTTGTATGTTATTTAATAAACAACCTCTGATCTAGGAAATGAAACTATTCAGATTTTCATTTTGTGATGATATTCTTGACAACTCACTAGATATACTTCTGAGGTATATTTAGTGAGTGTCAGAACCAACTTTTTGTAGTGAGTGACCTTATTACAGCCATTCATATACTAAAAGACTTACTCATCCTTTGCTGATTTGTCAAGACATCTGCTTTCAAGATTGGTTGCAAAAGCAAGCTTAAGTTATTAAATTATCAGCAATTGAAGCCCATTAATCATGTGAATCATGAAAGTAACTCCATAACCCTCTCAAGTTTTTCATCTGTAAACTTGCATGTTGCATGCACTGACAAGGAGGACACCATAGATTGCAAGGAGGTTTCTCACAGATGACTGAAAGTTGCAAACATTAACTAATAGGGATAAATGAGGTGAGCATGCAGGTATTCAGTCTTGCTTTCATTCAGCCCTGATAGGTCAGTGTAATATTACATTAATATAGAAGTACCAAATTAAAAATGTTGAAGTTAGGATCACCAGAGAACAGGTATTGCCACTTGAAGTGCATTTACTCATATGTGAGAAAATTCCACATGTAGTCCATCAGTAACCTTAATGTTGACTCGGCATCAACTTGTGTGAAAGATGAGACTTGAAAATAGGGATTTAAATAGAAACCTTTAATGAACATTTAGAAGTTGTCTGTGATATTTTAAATTTAAAGTCCAAGGAACAAGAGTGACACAGGTGATAAACGGAATTAAAGTGAGACTATAAACCAGCATCACATGTTTCATCATCAATTTGGCATAATCTGGTTCAGACTGTAGAATCAAATGCTTTTGGGATTCCATGTACTACATATTTTGTCTAGAAGTGATCTCAAGGACCATGGACAAAATCAAAACTCTAAAAGCTAGAAAAGTTCCTTGTTTGGTTAGATTTAATTTCTTCTGTTTGGCATAGGCTCAGTTGACAAATTGTCAGGAGATGAGAGTGCTACAATTCTTAGAAGTGTTGTTGGAAGAAAGTATGACTTCCAGACTTGAGTCTTGTAAGCTATTGATCAGGAAGTTGCAGAGAAAATCAGTATTGAAAAAAAATGGTGCTAGTTCAGTAAGGGGAGAAGAAAAGTGAAATTTTTATTGACTAAATGCTGCTTTTTATCATTTGCAATGCCTTTCTTTGTGTTGCAGGATCACCAGCAAAGACCAAGAAAATCAAACCCTCTGATGAGGTATGTTTTTTCTTTTGGGCTGACTGGAATAGACATGTTGAATTTGTCCTTTTGCAAAATTTCTCAAGGCAGGCCAATTCTCATTCATTGTAATTCTTTCAGACCCCTGGATCTGTGCCTAAGCTTGCAATGTCATCATTGCCCCAGCCTGCCCCAAATGTTAGCCAGACAGTTGGCTCATATCCTCAAGGTGAGCTTTGTGCTTCTACTGTGTCATTAGACTTCATGGTCAGCAGCTTCCCTGGAATAATGATTAAATTCTGTCATCTAGGTCAAGTTGGAAATATTTCTGGTCACATATCAAACACTCACACCTCTGGACCTTCAGCAACAGGCACCATCCTGCTCAATACTGGTGGAATCATTTCTAGGGGAAAACCAGCTATGATGGGCCCAGGTTCCCTTACAACACATGCATCTGTTACTCCTGGTCCCAAAGCTCCAACCACATATACTTCAGCCAGATTTCCTCCTCCTGAGGTTCCAAGTGGTGAGTCCCACAGAAAAAGTAGGCCTAATTGGCTCCTCATAATTGTTGTTATTGGAGTCCTTTTGAAACAGAGAAACATTATTAAAGCTGCACCAATGCTTTGGCAACCACCAGAGTCATCTGCCAAAATGGCACCATTGGTTTTCAGCACACTGCTGAAGCTGATGCCAAGGTCCCCTTACCACAAAAAAAAGGGAATGCATGGATGTGTGAATGCAGCCTAGTGCTGGACTCCCTTGTTTCTTCAGAAGAAGAAACAGGTGCTTCCAGCCTCATCCATGCAAAAATTTGTAGTACATGGATGGCATCATTCTCTCTATGGCTGGGATATGGGTCAAATGATAGCATTGAGCTTGCCACTGGACTTTATGTCTGTTCCAAGAAAATGAGGGCCTATACCAGTTTTGTATCTTCTAGGCAACTAAAATCTGTTCATTAATTCTATATGTAAGTAATTACATAAGCTGGTGCAAAAAATATCTCATTGCAGCTGATACCTGCATTGAATTTAATTCTGCCATTTGGCATTCTGGTGGAGTTGTCCTTTCTTCAAAGAATTTGTTAACCTAGGGCCTAGGATTTATGTTTCTGGGTGAGATGATACAATTTAGCCCCTTTAGCAAGAAATTATATTTTACAAGGGCATGATAACTGCCAGTCTCTACCACAGCAATGCATCTGATGATGGCATCAGGCATCCTGCCACACTTATCTTTGTTTCATGTTGAAACTCAACATGTCATTTGGGCCTCATCTAGTGCTAAAAATCCAGTGCATATGATCAATGTCATTAATCTCATGAGCTGGCATGAAAAAAAATTTGGTAAAAGTGAGGAATATAGAATAATAATTTGCTGGTCTCCCCTCCTCTGTTTGCCACCTTTGGCATTGGCATCAACACCAGGCAATGTTTGTTGAACCAGGAAACTTCTATAATATACCTACATTTGTATTTTCCTTTTTAGTCTCTGGCTGTATCTCTTTATATCACTCTTTAGATTCTGCCTTTTCTTCTTTTAGCTGCTCACAGACCTGTACCTTATGTAGCAAGTATGATGACTTTATCAATTGTGTGAAATGTGGATGCTTCATTCCTGCAGGAGTTGGCATGTGGTCCATCCTGTCTCCTGATGTTCCTTCCTCTTTCTGTGGATCAATTGATTTATGCTCATCTTCATCTCTTGTGTCATTAACTTCTGTTTTGGTTTCTCTCTTTCATCCACATTCCCCTCCTTGCCAGCAGCCTAAAGCTTCAGTTTCATGTTTGAAAATGCCACTGGCCCCATCTCAACCATCATCTTTGTCTCAACCAATTTCTGTTCCCTCGTATTCTTTCATTTCTATCCTCAGAAGTATCTCTTTTTCCTTGATGCCTCCACCTCCCCCACCTCTTGCTATCATTTCTATTGAGGGTAATCCACTACCACCTTCACCAGGAGCTAGAAGTGAAGATTTTACAAAGAAAGGCAATGGTTCATATCTAGTCGAATTTTTTGAAGAACAACATCCTGCTTTCCATTTTATGATACCCACAACTTCTGGAGGCAAGGAATGCATTGCCTCTCCTGAAATCAAATCCCTCATTGCCAGTACCTCTCCACTGACCTTTGAAACCAAGGACTATATCCAGCACAGGATTGCATCATCCATCATGTCATTTTATCCAGAATCTGCAACTTCAATTTTTTTAAATAATCCCAGATGGAGCATTTATCTTTAATTACATCATGTGGCAGAGTAAGCATTAGCAGCCCTCTGAAGCCCTAGTCCACCAGCACATCACAGAACTCATAGTTCCTATGTGACCTTCACCTAATCCCATTGGATCAAGTTGCCCCATGGCAATCAAACTATCTCTCCCACTGTTAGAATTAACCATCTTAATTAATAATAATTAATTAATCTTTCTCCAGCAAGACTAAGTCCTTCTCTGGGAGTTTGCCAATTGCCATCCATGCCAGCAATATTTGCTATAGGGTCTACTCATTCAGCTTGTACCCATCAGAAGTCAAACCTATGCTATGACCATGCTATGACCCAAGGCTGCTTCATGGTAGAATGAGACCCACTCTGACTGCTTCCAAACCTCTTCCAATCGACACTGAAATCCAGCCTGCTAAACCTGTCACTTCTTTCATGGAGAAGTCTTGTTCTATAATCAATAGTCACATTGAATCCAAGACTCACTCTGTGAATCATCAACTTGACCACCCAAATGGCAGACTTTGTGCCACTATCCTGGATATGAAAGCTGTGCCTGTCAAGACCTGTTCCTGCCCCCAATGCTCCTCCAGCAATCCCACTCACCCATTTACCTCTCCAATTGGCAGATGGCATGCCATTTCCCTGGAAATGTACTCCCAAATGAGGTGTATGTTCTCCTTTCCTTACCCTTCCCCACTTCCTCCTCATGCACTCTGGGGTAGCATTGGGTCTGTAGCCCCAATTGAAAACTGCTTGCTTTTGTTTTCACATTTGCACTTTGTTTTGAATGCTTTGCCAGTTGGGAATCCACTTACAGTATAAAAAGTGAAACTAGATTGTGGATAGGTTCTGCTTAGCATTTTAACCATCCCCTTTGCTTGCTTTTCCTTGTTTTCATCAATGCCTAAATGTGCTTTGTAGACCCATGCCATTTTCAAACTGTGCTGGGGTAGTTAGTTGGTAGATTGCTGTCCAAAACTGAGCTATCAAGTTAATTGGTATTGACTGCCAGCTTTTATTCAGGGGATAAAAAAAAAGAGAAAAACATAATGCACAAATAGGCAACGTTTCAATATGGGAAGAGGTGAAGAAAGATACTTATATTTCCCTGTGGGGTTCTCTGTCACATATGGCAGTGTTGCTTTTGAAATGCATATATCCAAGTGAATGATGTGGTACCTGTGGATGTAATGATGTGGTGCTGTTGGTTACATAGATGGAGTCATGAGCACACCAGCCATCATTCCAGCTCCACTGTCCTCTAATAATGTTCAGAACTCATCTGTGATCAATTCTGAGGGTGACAGTGCTCCTGGTCTGTTCAAAATGATATCTGATCCTCTTCCTGGTGGGTGATTCTCACTGATGCATGATTCTTGTGGAAGCCAGGTTGTTCGTTATCACTTCTTGGGTTCCTGTCATAGCTGGGCCTCTGGATGTAGGAGATCACAGTCAAAGCAATGGAGCTCTGATGACTGGAGAACCTGGGGCATCGAAGAACGTTGGCCAGGCTATGAAAGGAAAAAAGCCTGGGACTCCTTGGGCAAATCTGGTTCAGGCTGCATCAAAAAGCACTCCTGGGACAAGCCATAGTCCAACTGCAACGCCTCAAGGATCCACAACAGCCCTGAAGACTCAGGCTATGGACTCTTTCCAACTGTTTAAAAAGCAAGCCAGGGAGAAGATGGATCGGGTAAGCAGGCTTCTGTGAGATGCTTACTTTCTTTTGTGTTTGCATGAGCATAGCTTGAATGGGGCTTCAATATCTAGCAACGCCAGTTGATTGAGCAACAGGAGCAACGGCGAGTTCAGAAGGAGCAAGCAGAGAAAGAGAGGCTGCGCCTTGAGCGTGAACGCCTCAGGGAAAAAGAAGAGGAAGAAGCCTTAGAAAGGGCCAGGTATATAGACAGTAGAGCCAGAAAACCACTAGTTATTCCAGAGTCTCTCTCTGGAGGAATTAGTCTGAGAGGTATGTTCTTGGTTGATATCTTCAGGCGAGTGGCACAGGCAGAGAAACAGAAGCTGGAAGCAGAGCGAGTTCAAGCCCAAGTGACTGTGACTGCCTCATCAAACTCTCAACCCACCAGTGGGACCAACGCATCCATCCTCTCTTCTGTTGAGAGAGAAAAGCTTCGTGAGCAGGAAAGAAGAAAAAGAGAAGCAGTGAGTGTCTGGTCACTTGATATTTGCAGAAAGATATCTGTGATACTCCATTTAAGCCATCTCATTCTGCCTTATCTCCTCAGATGGCCGGTCAGATTGACATGAATCGGCAAAGTGACCTGATGGCAGCCTTCGAACAAATGTTATGAAGTTGGAAATTGTTTAGGAGAAAGGAAATGCTAAATATTATACGCTTTGTACTGCATGTTCAGGAGGAAACCTTCCTAACACTGAAAATTTTGATAGGGACAGTTTTTTTTTTTTTTATTACTGAGAACCTCCTTCGATCCCAAGAGGCATACTTCATGAAGAGGGGTGTGATATCGTGGTCATTCTCATGTGATTCCTTCAGCAGTGGTGGAGTCCCTAGCAGTCCTCCAGTATTAGGGTCTCTAAGGTTAGTGACATAGTGCATTTTGTTGCCACCCAACATTGTGTCTGTGTGCTTGGTTGCTTCCTTTTCATGTGATTAGGCTCTCTTCCTCTGCTATCTGTTGCCCCTTGATTCACCCTCTTATTTCCTTTTATCATGATGCCCAAAAAGAGACTATGTTGCTTTCTAGCTCCTATTGTTAACTCCTTTCTTCCCTCATATTCAGCATTCTTAACATATTGTCCCTCAAAGTGTTGAAAATAAATTTTCAGGTAGAATTTCAGGTATGGTATATTTAGGGTGAGGGACTTGCGATATTATTCTGATAATGCATATCCATTTTGTAATGCTGTAAATTCTGAATGATAAAAAATTATACATAATTATGCAGCATGAGCTGGGAAGAGAGCCTTGAAACCCCTGTTATGCTATGCTGTGTCCACGGATAGCGAGGATTGGACATATGTGTTCTGGACTATCCAAGATGAGTTTGCCTCAACAACGGGCACAAAAAAATACCAGGGATATGAGAGAATGTGATGTGTGTCATTTTGATTCTGTGGAAAAATTGCTAGTTTTTCTTGTTTTTGCTCTTTTTTCTAGTTTACAGGCTGTTATGTTTGTCTCTGTTTTCAATGGGGGATTCAGTCACCACGTTTTTTTTTTAAAGGATGTACTACTGTGATGTGGACTGACTTTTTTTTTTAATGAGGCATCCCTACCTATCAATATTGCAGTGCTTTATTTAGAATTAAAAAAAGAAAACCCTTGCTCAAATCCTGGTGAAGCCTGGTTGACAGTTGAGATGCCTCTGCTTCCTGAAAGCCTCCCATCTTCCCTTTAATATTGGTAGGCCTATGTTCTGTGTGGACTGGGCTCATAACATTGTGATGTACCTGAGAAATATGTGCCCCATTGTGTGTTCATCTGTTCTGATTTCTCTCATCCTATCATGTTGTCCTCAAAGTCTTGCAAATTAAAAAAAAAAAGTAATTCCCTGAAGAACGATGAACTTGTTTGCTTGGGTGTGTGCTGACTGGCCTTTGAGGGTATGGCATGTCAAAAAGAGTGCAGTTTAGCACGTTTGCTTCTCACAGAACACATCTGCAAACAGGTTGACGTCTCATCTTAGGTTACACTGTCTCTCTCACGTGTGTGTGTCTGGCCTGTGCACTATGTGCAAAGCTGCTCTGTTTCCTAAACATTAAAAATTTTGTGTGGCAGGGATTGTGATGGTGATTGTTGCAAATAAATTCTGTAGTTCCATACTGATAACTGCTGACATGATGAGCTGGATATGTCTTTGAATCTGTCTAGCATTCAACATGGACTTGCATCCTCTGCGGTAGGCTGATATTTTCCTCTATTTCGTATTTTTTCCCCACACAACTGTGGTGTGGTGATCTGCCCTTGTTGATAGAATATTGCGTTTAGAAACACAATTCGTTTTACCTTGTCTCCATTGGGGGTTGTTGCTGTGGATGCAACAGCTCTCAAATCCAGCTAAACCCAACTGGTTCCTGATCTCACACCCCATGTATAAAAATGAACTCCTGCTCTTAATGAGTTTAGTTTCTGACAAGCAATTTTGCTTCCTCCATGATGACTCGTTAATGGATCTCGGGGATGATGGCATTCAGGGTGGAGGAAGCATCTAGACTCAAGGGCTTAAGAGGAACTCATTAGTGACATTTTTAGTCCAACAGAATGCTCTTTTCTCTCTCCTAAAGCCTTTTGGTTTGACAGACTTAAGTGAGTGAGTGTGAGAGAGATAGATATGTTGAGTGCCGCTTTAGATACTGGATTTCTGTGATAACATTGTATTTTTCCCCCTCAAAAATGCCAATACACCTCTCGCTCACAGTAACATAATCTGTATGCTTCTACCTGATCACGTCTTGTGTTCATTTAGCATTGCATGATTTGTCTCTCAATCAATGAATCTTGTGCCCTCCACTGTGCCCCATGATTCCCTCATGAATATCTGACAGGCACGTTTCTCCCTTCCTCATGAACTGCAAGAAGGAAAGGAATTTTTCCTTTTACTCACGAAAGATTGATATGAGAGTGCAATTTGCACATCAGGCTAGCCAGTTGTTTTGCAACTCAGGCAGCAGGCTAACCAATTGTGTTGTCATGAAATTATCGGATTTTTTTCAAGTGGCTTCTTCCATAGTTGTATGCGTGAAACCAGATTTTGTGCCACCTGTATGGCAGTTATGTCACCCCACCAGCATTCCATATGTAGCTTTTCTTCACTAGAATTCATCAGTCCTGAATGACCACTATGCTATGTCTTTTTTCATTCTCTTGTGAAATTATTCAGAGGGCCTCATAAAAGAATGGGAGTGTTTCTTATGTTGATTGCTTTTGAATTTTCTCTACAATACTAGTGTAATTATTCTTGACGTTGCTACTGTATCATATGAAAAGAAGTTTTTTTCTGTCTCCTATGGTTGGCCCCATTTCATAGATGGAAGGAAGCCTAAAATTTATTAAATGATAATGGGCCCTGCTCCTTTGTCAGGAAGGGAAAAGCAAAGTAATAAATGAGTTTTGTAACATTGCTGCCATGCCTGCTTTCTTGGCTTCTGTAAGAGGACCATATGAGCAGATGATGTCATCAAAGAATTAAAACATAGGTATCGAGCATGGACTCAGCAGGATGGCTTTGAATCTCTTCTTTCTCCCATGCCTCAAGCCTGGCTGCCTCACTGAGGCATGCCAAGGAATCTGTCCTTCATGAACAGCTGGCAAAACTTGTCACTTTTCATTGTGAATTCATTCTTCATTGAAGAGTTTTGAAACAGAATTTTTAAAATTTTTTTCCCAACACTTCAAAAATTCCTTAATGTCTCTCAGAATTTTGAGTTTGCTTTCCAAGATCCAATTTAATAATAGTGATTTAATCATTGTTTTATCATAGCTTAATCATAGCTGAAAATTGCTCTGTTCCCTAGGTTAGGTCTGGTTATGTATGGCTTGGGATGAGTTGCACTCTTGTAGGATAACACCATGACATGCTTTCCTGGTATTTTGATCTTTAAGATTTGTATAGAGAATCATATTGAAAAGAAGACCATTAAGCAAAAACAAATTTGCATGAGCACATGGAAAACCATCATCTTAGAGTTATAAAATCCATGTGATTAGTGGGGATGTGAAAGGAGCAGTATTCTGCAGGCTTAGGAAGTGGTAAACATATAGAGTCTACATTGCTGCCACTAATGATCCCACTTCCTTGGAAAAGTCATCAGGTAAAGACTGATGAATGAATGCAGAATGAGTGACCCAGTGAAGGCAATGCTGCCTCCGCCAGCACCTGTCGGAGCACCTGTACCTCCTCAGGTGGGACCAGTTTCAGGGGGTACCCCTGGTGTCCCTGGGATGAGGCAGCCTGGTTCAGGAACTGAGAACAACCCACCTCCCCACTCCCCAGCTACCCTACCACCTTCATCACAAGGCATTCAGCCTCCTCACAAATCTTCCTCTTCATCTTCTAATGTCCTTGTGAGTTTATCACTTTACAACATGCTTGCATCTCCAACACAGGCCAGAGTGCAACAGCATTTGAGTTTTTATCCCATACAGAAACCCAACTATCAGCTCATGTTCACGCTTGCTGGTCATACCAAAGCAGTCTCTTCTGTTAAATTCAGCCCCAATGGTGACTGGCTGGCCAGTTCATGTGAGTTCTTCCCACATGCTATTTTCTAGTTAGGGAAATTCAGTTCAATTTGGTGGTCTATTTTTAGAGGTTGCATGACTAGATCAGTTCCTCAATATGCCACATATGCAATTTGTTTACCCCTCAACACATTTGACATCACTGTGACATCTGTTGTATATCCACTACACAAGTAAAACATGACAATGACATCCAATATGGTAGTGTGTTTTTATTACATCTCACGGGTAGGAGGTAAACTCATCGTCTAGGGGCCTCCTCCAATGAACAGTTGATGTCTCTAGGATTTTCTGCAAACTGCAAGAAAATGTTACTGCAGCAGGGAATGTTCAGCCCTTTTAAATGACCAGCTTTGAAGGGTTAATTATCATTACTGGATTGAGCCATTATCTTGAAATAGCCTGAACATACTTGCCACTTCCTTACAGCGGCTGACAAACTGATCAAGATCTGGGGAGCATATGATGGGAAATTTGAGAAAACCATCTCAGGACACAAGTTGGGCATTTCTGATGTATCCTGGTCGAGTGACAGCAGGTTCTTGTGTTCAGCATCAGATGACAAAACGCTGAAGATCTGGGACTTTGCTACTGTGAGTACATTCCTGGTCCATGCCTTTCATTTTTCATTTTCTGAAGGTGTCTCACTGAAGGCTTGCCTCGCCCTGCAGGGAAAGTGCCTGAAAACTTTGAAAGGGCACAGCAACTATGTCTTCTGCTGCAACTTCAATCCCCAATCAAATTTGATTGTCTCTGGTTCGGTGGGTGATGTTATTTGCTCTAGTCCAGGAAAAATTGCTTGAGCTTGCTTCTTCTTTTTTACACTTCTTTCTATGAAGATCTTGTGAATTGTGGGGACACATTTTTTAAATAGGAAAGTGGAAAGGGAATGTGGGAGTTGAAATTGAACTTCTACTAATTCTTGAAAGTTAATCAAATTTTCTCTTGAAAAAACAGAAAGCTTTCATCTATTAATTTGTTTGTGGTACCATGATACCTGTACTTAGAAAGCCCAAATGTGCAAACCTCACTTAGGGGAGGTAAATGGGCCTTTAGCTTAAAGCTAAAACAAAAGAGCTCTTTCTCCACCATAGGAGACCTTGTATTCTAAAGGACTATTAACTAGGGAGGTTTCAGCATTCAGACCTAAATATCTCTAAGTCTTGGTTATTCTTTATGATATAATTTCATTTTCTGTGGATAAAATTAAAAAAGTTCTGAAAACTTGAAACTGTTTTTCTGAGAATTGCTTATTCTCAAATCTTCATGAATGAAATTTCATCCTTCATGGAATTATCAGTTTGTTTTACTTACATGACTTGAATGGTTAGAGTACATGGCATAATTATGTTATAAAGGCTTGATTTTTTAAATATCCTTTTTTCCACACTGAGTTGCATGTTTTGTTTGTATTGAATCTGTTTCATGTACCATGGTACCTATAGCCCATTGGATGAAAATTTACGATTCCAGTTTGACGAAAGTGTGCGGATATGGGATGTGAAGACAGGAAAGTGCCTTAAGACATTGCCTGCGCATTCAGACCCAGTCAGTGCTGTTAATTTCAACAGAGATGGTTCACTAATTGTCTCTTCTAGTTACGATGGCCTTTGGTGAGTCCCTTCATGTGCTGTGAATGACATCTTTGGATTCATAATGGAAGAGCACTTTAGCTATCTATAAGAGGTACATCTGCTCATTTAACAGTCGAATTTGGGACACCGCTTCCGGTCAGTGCCTGAAGACTCTCATCGACGACGACAACCCGCCTGTGTCCTTTGTGAAATTCTCCCCGAATGGGAAGTACATCTTGGCTTCAACGTTAGATTCATCTCTCAAATTGTGGGACTACTCCAAAGGGAAGTGCCTCAAGACCTACTCGGGGCACAAGAACGAAAAGTATTGCATCTTTGCCAACTTCTCTGTCACAGGGGGAAAAGTGAGTTGCAGTTGAATGGTCACCATATCTGTCTATCAATGTTTATCTGGTTATAATCTCTCTTTCACCTCTTCTGCAGTGGATCGTGTCTGGATCAGAAGACAACACAGTGTATATATGGAATCTTCAAAACAAAGAAATAGTCCAAAAACTTCAAGGTCATACTGGTGAGTTGGTTACATTTTTACAGTCTACTTGAACCACAGTTTCTCTTGACTCTAATTTCTTTCTCATTGTCTCCTTCCAGACGTCGTCCTTTGCACCGCCTGTCATCCGACGGCCAACATCATCGCCTCTGCTGCACTCGAGAATGACAAAACGATCAAACTGTGGAAGAGTGACACGTGACATGCTGATCGAGAATAGTACAAGTGATCTCAATTTTTCTCTCGATGCTGCATGTTGTATTGGTACCTGTTTTACATTGTTGCAGCTTCGCAATGGACAAGATGCCTGGTGATCTTGATTTGTAACTTTTTTTCAGATTGATCAATTGCATCGTTTGGTTTTTTTCATGAATTAAAAAATTTCCCTTCTTCAGGATTGTGTCTTTCATGCCTTAGTGATTGCTCATTCAACCCGATTGCCTGCAGTTCCTTTAGCAATATGAATTGACTCGGTCTCAATCCCTCAGTAGGGAAAATATTAATTTCAATTCAAATTTCGATTCCTATCCCAATAGCCTTTTCCAATTTTCATTGCTTTCTCTATGAGGTCTGGAGGGAAACTAGCTTGGGGGGAACTGGGTGCTGCCTATTCCATTCAGACATTCTTGGAAAAGTTACATACAGCTTCATATTATGGTTCATGCATCATTCATGTTGTATGGACTGAGGACATGCTTCAAAAGAAATTGGAATCCTTATTACACTTGAAGCTGAAACGAGTAATGAAACCTGAGGAGACTTGGCTGTACGTCAGGTGTTTGCGAGGAGGGGATTCTTCGGGTCAGGTGTTGATGCGAGAGTAGCTCATATACTAGCCACGCAGCACTGGTGCATCCTCTAGTCTTTGAAATATTATTTGAGGCTGGAATCTCCATAAGAGATATGCTATATTTTGTCGCATCAGGGCATAATATAGCGTGCAATGTAGCAAATAATTTGAACCGCTGAAACGTGCGACGATTGTCCCACCAGCACCTCGTGGAATTCCTGCTCGAACGTCTAGAGGCTTGGGACACTCAAGTCCACATCGGAAAGCAAGTGCGTCTCGACCCACCACCGCGCACCCTTCTCCTCTGCTCTTTGGCTGTGGGTGCGCGGACCAGGTATGAAAGAGGAGGATCCTCCAATCCCAGGGCGGGAACTGGAATGCGTCATCAACTACGTCACGAATAAGCTCCGCCCATCCGTCGTCTGAGGAGTCGTTTTCGTGGATTTCGTACTGTTCATCCCGTTATCCGCCATTATTCTGTTGCTAACGTTGCAGAACGCTTCTGAGAGCATGACTGGCGACTTGAAAATATGGGAGGTGACACTGAGTTTTCGCAACAGATGGCCCGAAGAAAATTTGGAATACGACCTGGTCGTGACGCACGAGACATTTCTTTTGGGTTGTGCGAGGTTGGAAGACGAATCGATTTATTAATGGAGGTCTCATTCGAAAGATTTTTTTTTGTTCCTTTAACTGCTGAGAGGTACGCTGGGCTAGTTCTTGGAATTGGACAGCATTTCTGTGGTTTAGAATTGATCAACGCGATCGGGCCGAAAAGGACCGCTTAGTTCGGCGTTTGTAATCGTTCAAGACGTTTCCTTCGGGGTGGTGGTGCAATTACCATTGTGATTTATCTGTCAATTTTCGACATCATTTTTTTTTTTTTAACAAAAAAAGGCTACCTTTCTTTAATAGTCGAATTTCGAAAATCCTGATATTTCACGGTTGCAGAATACGACGCCCGTCACGTTTGTATATTTTTTTTTTTTCCATTCTTACATCCTTGTCGCGCATGAAAAACTTGGTCCGCGTGGAATACAAGCATACAAGAAAAAAAAAAAGGCGGAAAGAAAATCCGTATTATTGTCAATCTGCAATTCATATGAAGGAACTCAAAAAGCACCACCTCGCAAGCATTTCCAGCCACGATCAGATGACAGAAAACGACCCAAAAGTCCCTCCGAAGGAGCTTCGAAACCATCGAAGCCGCCCGCGCCCCGACGGAAAGGAAAGCGGCGTCGCCCCAGCCTTATGTGTGCCTCCATCATGATCACTGATGATCGTGATCAACACGATGATCATCGTGTTGATCACGATGTTCATCGTGTTGATCAGAGGATTTTCGGGGTTAAGAGTCAAAGGGCGTAGAGCAGTGATGAGCAACCTTTTTTGCCTGCGGGCCGCAAGTATTTTTTTAAATTTAAATAGTGAATTACAGACTTCATGCCTGCTGAGTACCAATACCAACATAATCGAAAGCGTGGCTTAGCAAACCAGGTGCTAAGATAAGCAACGACCGTCCCAATCGCTCCAGCATCTTTCTCCGGCTCTTCCCACAAATCTGCGCTAGTTGTTGTGCCCATCATTGCCACCGTACTTGCCTCTCTTGCTCCTCTTATCTTAAATTCGGCGTGAATGCCTCGAAGGAACACAATGCTCTCATCCAGTGCCAGAGAAAACCGCTTAAAAACCGCTTAAAAGTTGCAGCCCTGCATTTCGGGGTATCTTCAACGTTCTTTGACGTATCGTCCACCCTCCTGCCCACAGTAAACCTCGACAGGCTTAATTTTGTGAAATAATAGCCTTCTTCTCGGAAGATGCAACATCAGCCAGCAGACATTCCTTCGCCATCTCGCTAAATGCCTTCATGCGTCTTGCCGGGATTTTCGAGATCGAGTCGCTGGCACGTACCGAAATGTTCAAGTAGCTTTCTTGAAGAGATTTTGTTGGCTTCCCAGACGTTTTTCGATTTTTTTTCGTGCACCTTGTCTTGAGGCATGCTTTGGTTCATGATGTCTTTTAAGATTTTTTTTTTTTTTCTTTAAGAACAGCCACAGATTCATTGCAAATCAGGCCTACTGCCGCTCCTTTAAAACGCTGGCGAAGAAATACTCTGTGGTCCACCGATCGTTGAAATCGCGGCATTCGTCTCCGACTTTGCGCCTTTTTTTTCTGAAGCCATGGCTGAGGTTTAGGACCTGCTGCTCTTTCGAAAATGGCACAAAAGAGGAAACCGAAAGATGAAAACCTTCCTAAGTATGCACACGAAACTATTCGCTCTATATATCCGTCCCTACCTTAGCTGTGAAGGGGGGGGAAATTTTTTCAAAGGTCACAAAATACAAAGCAAGCCACTTCCTCAATGAGCAGTGATGCACTGACCGAGAAGAAGTGATGAGATATTTGCAGCTGCGGCGGCTATATAGCTTTTAGGTTTTATTTCTTGCTTCCGTTTCTCCTGCAGCGAATCCTTGAGTGCACGTGCACCGGATGGCAGATGATGAGGGAAAAAAAAATTCAAATTCAGTCGGCAAAGCCCCGCGTGCCGCGCGGGTTGCTCATCGCTGGCGTCGAGGGACCCGCCGCTGTTCTCCGTCCTCGTTTCTTCTCTCGCCTCGTCATTCATCGTTTCCCTTCCCCTTTCCCCGGAGCCGCCTGATGATCTCCTTGGCTCGATTCTCGACCCGCACGTTCCGAAGCACTGCAGCCCTCATGCTGGCTGCCATTGCGAGATGCCGTGACTAGGGAGCGAATTTTTATGCGAATGCAAATTTTTCTGCAATCTCCTAGGAACATGCAACCCAGGTAGGATCATGACTTATTGGCAGAAGAGGCGATTTCTGCCATTTTAAAAACGCATAAAAATGCACATTTTTTTAGGTTTTTCTAGTAGGTGCATATTTACGTATGTGTGCATATTTATGCATATTTCGCCATTTTGGGGAGGGGGGAAATAAGGATTTTCCAGAAATGTGTTTTTTTTTATGAGCTACCTATGAACATTTTCGAGCGGTCATGTGCTGTGTACCAGTAACGTAGCGACGGGGGGAGGGGGGGGGGGGGGGGGGGGGGGGGGGGGGGGGGTGGCGGAAGCCCCCCAACTGCCCTAAATCCATCTGCTACTCCTGAGTTTAGGAAATCCTGGCCCCCGTTCGTTTTCCTTACCCCTCCGTTGATGAATTCCTGGCTGTGACAGCAATAGATCAACTAAGTTATACCCAGTAGAGGCATGACTTGTTCATTGAAGTTCCTTCTGCCAAGAAATTCGTACTGCATAAAAAAAAACAGGCTTTTGCTTCTTTTTCTGCATCCATGCATACTTCGGCATTTTAAAGTGCATATGTATGTGCATATTTTTGAACTTATTAGTGTGTAAAAATCCACTCCCTAGTGATGACTGCCGATTTCACCATACGAGAAAGGGATAACTCATTGATTTTGACGTCCTTCCATGACCTTGTGGGCTTCCTTTCCTGGAAGGAAAGAGATTCTAAAAACCCTGCGATGACCTATTTTTAAAAAAATTTGACTTTCGTTAGACATTCGAAAAACTATGCCAAAAAATACGAGCAAGACACAGGTTACGTTCGTTCCTGGCAGAATTCGAGCCAAAAACCGAACTTCGACATAATTTTGACATTGCTCGCGCCGGGAAAGGCGTGACCATCCGCCCGGACCCCCACCTCGATGTGCCATGCGCCGCGCTCAGCCTAGATCGAACTCAAGCTGCTAGTTCCCTTCAAGCCTTCATAGAAGTAGCTGCCCTGTTTGACAGACTGAAAGGCTCGGTACATGGCGGAGTAGACAGGGTTGCTAGATGAACCCATCTGGCAGTGCTGCACGTTGTAATCTTCCATCCCTTCACCTACGTGCCACATCCTCCTGTTCTCAATACTCATTGTAAGGAGGTCCGCTATCGGACTGGGCTTGCCCAACTTGTCCTCGAATGTCCATGTCCCGAGATTTTTTATTAGCTTCCCAACGTTCATTTTCCCCATTGAGTGCACGAATCTGTACAGATTCTGAGGGATGTGAAGAATAAATAATAAAAAAAAAACACATCCAGAGATGGAATATGTTGATCTCTTGTGTCAGTCATGCTCCAGTTCAAGTCATCACTGAAATTCCGCGTCATGAACTTCGGCTACAAAATGCATCAATGGAAGATTTATTTGTGATCAAGTATGACCTGTTGACAAAAATTTTCTTTAAAAAAGAAACTTTGAAATTTGAAAACTGGAGTTGGGAGTACTTAACATTTAATTTTACTGGATTCATCCTTGATGTTTTTCAATTGGGGTTGAAACGTTGTATTTGGCTGAAGCATGTTCCATGCAGGCTGGGTTTCTCAAAATAAATTTTCTTCTTTGCGCTGTAAGTTCTTTAATATAATAACAATATAAACATTTTTTTTAGTCAAGTGAAAATCTGTACATCTTAATGAAATAGTCAAACTCAACTGAAAAACACTGCAAAACCATACTGATCTTTTGACTTCCTGAAGTGAAATCATGCCAACTCCACAGGATGACAATATGAGAGGACTTCACAAAAATGAATTATCTTGCAAAATTGATTAATAAATCATTTATTGCCACAAAAATATTGACTTTTGCACCATAGAACCAAAACCAATGATGGCAACACAGTCAAGATCTGCCCTTCATCACAAGAGCTAAGCAGTGGGAACGACAGTCTCATGCAGCAAAGAAGACCTACCCATCTTTGGTACAGTATATTCCTCAATTCACAAGATTTAAAGCAAAAAATCATATAGCTGCACAACCATACTACATGGAGGCACATACAATAATCTTGCAAACAATGCCCTTTTGCTTTGGCCTGTGCTTATGTACTCTTTTTGGAGACACAAGACAGTAACTGAATTGAAAAACTAGAAAATTAAAAGTTTGAACTGTATCCATCAAATGGGGAGATACAGATGCTGAGGTAAACATTTGGGCAACAGGCAACTGGGTCCAATTTCCCTATCTCACACTTCGACTCTTGACAGTTCTCAATCAAAACAAAACTGATATGATCACAGAAGGTCAGACTGCTAAATTTCTGTTCTGCAAGTCATGCCCTCTTTGTGCATTACCACAGCAGCCACCCTGAAAGCACACAGATGTAGTCAAGAAAACGGCTTTCGGATGGTCAGCAATACACATGACAGATGATTTCTTTCCTTTTTAGGAAAATTTCATCTGAATTTCCATTTCCAAAAAATTGAGCATGCAATCTTACGACAAAATCACCACCATCTGGAAAGCACTCAAAGGTGTTCATATGACTAAACAAAATCACGCGATGGACTACGTTCAACTATCAAGCAACAGATAATATGGTTTGACCACTCCATTGCATTCAGCAAATCATGAGAGTTCTGGGACCTCCAGATGAAGAAAGTGACAGAGACAGTGACAGTGACAGTGACAGAGACAGTGACATAACACTGTATGACATGTAATTCACCATAATGATGCCGTGACCTTCGATTGGTCCCAAAGGCAGCAGAATGTTCACAAGAATACAATGATATATGATTCTGTGATCTAATTAGTAAACTTACCCTACACCGCAGTCAGGTCATCAGTGACAGTGCTCCGTGATATCTACGACTATAGATTTTCTCCAGCCAAAGATGAAGTATCCGACTCCCGCTCCGAGGATGACGGCAATGCAAAGCCAAGCATTGTAAGTCATAAAAATGAGCATAAGGAAGTAGCTGAGAGTGATCTGAATCATGTGGAGAAGGGTCTGCAGGAGATGATGCTGACCAAGCATGCGAGTTCTAGGTGGGAGAAACGTAAAAATGCGCACCCTATATTGCATGAATGAATAAAAAAAATACATTTGAAAACTTCAAGGCAGCTGTGATGGAAAACATGAAGCACTGCCCATTATGCAACCCTTGTAACTGCCTGTCTGAATGACAGCAGTTTATGCTTGCTGCCTTGAAGCAATAGCATGCACTGCCAGACAAACATGGTCAACAGAGGCTATTTAGGCAAGAGAACTGATAAGTTGCTTTGAATCCACATTGTGCAATATAGGGTTAAGCTGCCAATGTGTCACAGTACCAGTGAATACAAAATGCAGGAAGACATACAAAAACGCATGTGGAAATTTACAGATCAGTAGTCCTTAAGAAGCAAAGCAAGAAAGCTCATAAATTAAATAAATTACATAAACCTGACAACAAGTATTATTGTTGATGTTCTGAAGCTCTAGAGCAGTGATTCCCAATCTTTTTTTATTTGCATCACACACTTTCCATGGGACTCCCAGCCATTTACTTACTTTCAATGGGAAACTTGTGCTTGCTTCGCTCAACACAGGAGTTTGATACAAGGCATGATAGTGCAACTCTCAGCTTGTTTTCCACTGAGAGATGGCATTCCCTCTTGTTTTTAAGTTTCTTTTTGGTCAACTCTCAAATCTCACGGCACACTTAAGTCTTACTGGCGGCACACCGTTTGGGAAACACTGCTCTAGAGTATGCATTTAAGCTTTTGCTGTGAAGCAAACACGAATGCTGAAACTCACTGAATAGCCGTAACAGCAACTGGGATGGCATCAAAATTCCTGTGAAGCGGGAAAAAAACCAAGCAGAAGTGCATGTTATCAGCTCAAGCCCTCATACAGTGTTTTCCACTCGAATCTGACACTTTTTCACTTGATTTTGACACCCATGTATGGGTGTCAGTGTCGGGTGAAAAACGCTGCATAACCACCACCACATTATATGTGGCACTAATCCATATGCAGTTGCTCATCCAATCATTCATTCTCAAAGTTTTATTTGACATTCCTGTATAGTTTCCACTTTCTGATAGCTAAGAGATAGCAATAGCAGATGGAAGAGAGAGCAATGCTTGCAGGAAAGAAATGCAATGCAGCAGGAAAAAAACTGATACATGATCGAAGTCCAAAACAAACTACAACATGAGCTTCTATAAGGAAAGATACCAAGCTTCTCCTAGGACTTGTCAGTTGAAATAAGTCTCTATTCCCCATATCCCACATAGGCCCATGTCTAGGTCTTCTAGGAACTTTCACATAGTACAGCTTCTTTTCCCAACCATTGCATTTTCTGAATGAAAATAGCCTGCATCATTAATCATGCCATGACTTTGAGTATGAAAAACCAGATTGGGTGTGAAATATAAGCAAAGCTCAAAAATGATATTTATCACACACCCAGTTTTCATTCTTGAAATTTTGGAAATAAAAAGATAAGAAACACCATGTTAGACACGCATCTGAATTGAAAACAAGTTATGTCCAGCCAGAGATGATGGAATGACTACAAGCACCAGGAAAATGTCAAAGCATGCAAAGCTCCTTCTAAACCCCCACAGAATACTAAATCATGCTCTCCGTCACATTTATCACTTTCCAAGCATTCATTTGGTATAGGTACATAGCTGCTTTTGACTCACATAAGGGAGCGAAGAACATGTTATGCAAAAGAGACATCTTTTTACCAAGCAAATTGCATGAAGAGAATCTCATAAATCACGGCTCACTCTGCAGATGACGCCGGTTGAACGATGATGCCCTTGGAGTCTGTCGAACTCACTGAGCCCACGATGGCATTAGATGCCCTTCGAAACAGGTAATCCCTTGAGGAAAAGCACACAGCAAGTTATTGAAGGCCTCGATCCGTCAACTTAGATGTCGGTTGTCTGTTGTGCACGAGACTCACCTGTAGTATTTCAGGCCTTCGTAGATAACAGCCATCAGGAATATGGCAATCATGGATCCTATGAGGCCACCTGCATTGTTTATTGTCCATTTCTCAAACAAAATTGTGGCACTCTTAGAGAACTGGAAATACTGGAAAGAAAAACCCAAATTACTGATACAAGCACACGACAAACGGAACAAATCGACACGGGAAGGAACAGCAACCAACCATTGGCATCATGTCCATGTTCATGTCCATGTTGTGGCCATCATGCGATTCCCTCTGCATGTCGTGCATGCCGTGAGAGTGTCCGTGGTCCATGGTGTGGCAGCCTTCACAGCCAGAAGTCTGAGAACCGTTCATCATTGCAGTTGCATTCATCGTGGGCAAAGACAACATATCACTGCTGTTCATCATGGAACCATGATGCATGTGATGACCCTCCATGCCTGCCATTAGACTGCCGCGAAGTCTCGCTCGGGATCACTCCCTTTTTCAACGCAATCTATCGATTTGGCTGCTGGATCGCCCCTAGAACGCTCCTACAGATTAAGCACCATTTCACTCTCGATCATTAGCCTGGCCTATGCTTACACTACGTCGAGATCCACTTCCCTCACTTCGAATCAGACATACACGCATCTGACACCCGATACCTCTCGATCGCGAAGACCCCCCTACTCGACCTATCCCTCGCCCCCGCCGCCTCCGTCTGTCTCGCCCCTGGAAATCGTCCTAGGCCTCGGAGCACTCATCTGCATCCAGGCGACCCCATCGACCCCCGAATCGGACCACCGTGAAACACCTCACACCCGAATCGCGTCGACCCCGAGAGCCGCACTTCGCTCCACGGAGCCTCACCCCCTCCCCATATGGCCATCGGGCACGTGGGCGTCAGCCGCACTCCCCCCACCGACGGTGGATGCCACATTGGAGGGGATTTGGCCCTCGGGGGACAGCGCCCCCTGTCGATGGCGGGAGGCGTCACTGGCCCCCCCTCACCTGCGGTCTTTTTAAATTGTCGTTTAAAGAACTTGACGTCCTTTAAATGATTTCTTTTTAAATGTTTTCTCCAGGAGAGTTTCTCGAAGATAAGACGCCGCGACGCCGCTCATCGATCTGTGGTGCGCCTCGGAGAAGCCTCAGTGAAACGGACTGGATCGGCATCGACTTGCCTCGGCTCCAGAAAATTCTCTTCTAGGCTCACACCCCCGCTTCCAGGCGACGACGAAGCACCCCCTTCGCGCGAACGACAATCGAGAGACTCCGCAATATTTAAATGCACGTGCTCGGAACACCCGAGCCGCCTTCGGGGTTACGGAACGGCCGCAAGACCGCGCCGGCCGACGGCCGACGATCGATCGCTCGACGGCGCCACGCGGCATCGTTTCATCATATCCTTGTCGGCATATCAGGTGAGCCGTTTCCATTTCGTCTGCGTATGCAGAGTCACCTGACGTCCAGGACACGGACGCCAACTTGTAGAAAGAAGAAAAAATTGGGGGGGGGGGCACGTGCCACTTAGCTCCTTTGTTTTGCCCCTTTGTCACGAAGGCTTCATGAGCCATCTGAGGTTGGTCGTAATCTCTCTTTTATCTCTTTTCTCGATTCCTCGGGTTTACCCTCTTGCGGCCGTGATTGCCCACAGTCGGGCATCTTTGCCTTCACGTGGTTAGAGAGGCCACGCCCGAGTGAGACGGGGCGGGGCGACAGACCGGGGAATCCCGATCCCTCGAGAAATTCTGTGAATTTTCAAGTCGGCTCTTCGACCCAGGAAGGAACCTCGCGACCGGCAAATTCCCCGAGGGGGAACGCGAAAAGGCAAGAAACCCCTCCGAGACGGCCGAGTTGCAAACCCCATTCCCCCCGCAGAATGCAATAAGTACGCGCCGACGATCGCCCGTCGCAAGGAGCCGCAAACACCCGAAGGAAGTCCGAGCGAAACCGCCGCCGCCATCTTCGAGGATGTTTACAAGGCATGAGCACTTTCCTGAGGAAGAGCTGGAGACTCGTAAACACGTTTCACAGCGACCGGACCGCACTTCAAACTCCAGACCCATTTAAAACTGCCGATGGCAGGCTCACGACCGCGCTGACCTGACTCCTTGGCAAACACGGCGACGAAGAAGACCCCACTCCGATCCAACCATACCCACCCCACCCCAACCCAGGGAATGAAGGTTGAAAGGGCGTCATGGAGGATGGAGCGTGCCTGCATCAAGTCATTTCACAGCTTCGAACCGGATGCATAAATGCAGAAACGCACGCGACGGAGAGATACAACTTGACCTCTGCATGACAAAATTCCAGGACCCATCTTCCCTCTCCCCCCTCCCACAAAGAAAGACGCCGGACCTCGCCTCCCACAACCACGACATGGTCTGAGTCAATCTACAGCGAGTCGTCAATCTCGATGCAGAGGAGCACCTCTAGGACCTTCTGAATGAACCAGCGGCGGCGTAGCTAGACGGAAAGGAAACTGGGGGAGAGCTTCAACCATAGAGTAGAGAGTATAACTAGAGGCGACCATAGACATGCGCATACTATGTATAAGTATACTGGATAGTCATAGGTGCGAACAGTGGGCATTTTGACGCCATGTTTATGGGCGCACATCTGTCACGCAACTTACGTTCACCCAGTATCTTTGAGACTTCATGCCTCTATCCAGTACTTCTAGTCCACCAATTTTCACCCGGGCTATACTTTCTCAGATTTGGAAGTATTGGACCATTCTTTGGCAAGGTTTTCTACACTACTTTTTCTGAGTGAAAAGTTGATGGTCATGTCAGACGTCTAATTGCCTGAACCACAGATCTCTGGACTAATGCATCACCAGAAAACAATGTTGCCAACCAATTGCACACATCTGAACAAATGCATTCATTCTATCAATTTATTAGGCTATTGACGCATGCAATTTAAACTTAGAACTCTGAAATGAAAAAGTCCTGAAAAAGGCTATCCAGTTTGCCTAAGGATTCTTAAGAATCGCTATGATGAGTAATTTACTTGAGGGGACAAGTAACATCTTTCATTTCAGGAAACAAAATTTATTCATGTTACCTAGGGCCTCAATTATCTTCATCGCTTTTGGTATCAGAAATCTCAACATCTATATGACCTAAATTATCATACTATACACCTTTGGAATGCTTGGATATTAAATATTTCACCCTATCACTTTTCTTTCGCTTTGATCAGCCAAATTTCTTTTCTACAACTCACTCTTGGATTCAGCTCTCTCCTGTGACCATGACACTGGTGAGTAAACGGCAAACCTACATCCAGCCTGGTGTGCTAGAGCCCAGATTTAGCCCAAAACAGGCACCGTTCCCTTTCCTTTTTTTGCCATAATTTCTGCTCAAGAGGAATGCACTAATATTTGGGTATTGATGATATTTTAAGAGATTTAATTCATTAGAATTGATGTGGCAACAAAAGGCAATTTCTTATTTCAAAGTTATTAAGAACAGTGAGTTTAGGCATTGATATTAATCGAAAGAAATACCAAAACGTTCAAGTTAGGCCTACTTGAACGGGGTAACAATATGTGGAACTAGAGGTATTTATAATAGCTCTTGGACTAAAGATCCATCTGACAGAATTTTACTAGGTCCATTTGCAAATAGGCCAAACATTAGGCCGATCAAAGGCTCAGCGTACAATCGGCTATTGAAAACCGGGAGCGTCAGGCCCAGACCAATAATGCCATGCATGCAGAAGGCCTTGGTCCAGTTCCAGTGGCGTATTTTGGCTGAAAGGTCGGGGGGAGGGGGGCAGGGCAACAGAGTGGAGACGCCAAATCCCACCCGAGCCATATCAGGGGAGAAAGTTATTACCTCCATGGCCCCCAGGCCATGGCCAGGGGGGGGGGTCC